AATCCGAATAAAAAGACTAATGAAAATTGTATAATCCACGGAAAATCCGGGGGGGGGGGGGGGGGGGGACAGTAATGAGTAGAATGGTCACGACAGTGGGTGCTTTGTGATCCCCAGCCAGGCCCACGATTAGATTAGGTCGTGACATTTAAAAGGCACCTTTTTATGTAACAGTCAACATGGTGGGCCCACTACTAACCGGCCACGGAGTTCACACAACTCCCTACATGCCCCTTAAGGGATTTCTTCGCCTCCCCCATGGCTCGAACCCATGCCCAAGGTGGCCTGATGGTACTCATGGTGCTTCCCATTTGCCTATAGCCCCTTGGGCATGGGTTCAAGCCATGGGGGAGGCGAAGAAATCCCTTAAGGGGGGAGATATTCCTAGTGAGTCACGAAGAGTGGGTTGGTGCTGTGTGAACTCCACTCGGTCGTGCCTCCAGTAAGATGGGGCCGTGACAATAAAAATGCGCCTTTTTATGTAACAGTCAGCATGGTGGGCCCACTATTAACCAATGGTAGCGTGCCGAATGCACCAAATTAATTAACCTTACTAACCTAACTATTGAATTGTATAAAGGGCAAGCAAGGGTCGATCCCACAGGAAATGACTCGATTAATTTCTATATTCTAAAACAATAAAAACAACAGAAACGCAAATTAAACTCTAAACAGTAAACCTGACAATAGTAATGAAAGGCGGTTTGTAATCAAGGCAAACTAAAGCAAAACAGAGAAATAAAATATCAGGTTAAACAATCAATTCTTGGTTCAATATCCACCTAAACATGCATTGGACATAAAGTAACCGTAACGTTGTTCTATCTCGTCATTATGGAACTACTGACCCTAGGAAACAACAAGCTCTGTTACCCGAATTCTTCCTTAGTTTGTCACTACTGAAACAAGCTCTTTGAGTAGACACTAACCCTTGAACAACCTAGAACAAGCTCTTTAAATTTAATTCAATGGAAGCCTTAAGAATTAGGAGAATAGATCAATCTAAGCAACAATCACGCAAGCTCGGATTATTTAACTTAGGTTATGTTATTCAAGACAATAGACTGAAAACTTGTCCATAATCAGCTATCATCATGCGTTACTTGTTGAATAGAAAAAGGACGATTACGTATCACAATTCCTAATTCTAACAGGTAAATTCTGATTAAACAATTTAGCAGGCCAAAACTAAATCACTCAAACAAGAATCACAGACAATTAAATCAGAATAACATAAACAATTCTAATAAAAATGAGATTGAGAACAACATTACTGAAGTTAAGTTACACCAATGACGTGAAATTAGGCTTCAAAATCATCTTGAACTGAAGAAGGAAATTAGCCGCACATCTTGATCTAGAAAGCAAAAACTCTGAAAATTAAAACTCTACTGTCCTCCCCCCTTTTTCACCTCAAAACTTCTAATTAAATAACATGTGTTTTTCTTTATTCTTCCTCAAGAATCACGGAATTTCTTTCCTAGACGTTTCCTAGAAGATAGACTTCCAGATTTGACAAAATCTTATCAGATATGGATTCCAGAATTCGTCTCCAGATTGCACCAGGATTCTCGTAATGTAAAAGATCTTTTCTGGGCTCTATCACTTCATAAAAATTGTAGTCCAGAATGTGCAGATGAATCTGGACTTTTGAATCATCTGCTTTCGATACCTGACACTCCAGTTAGGCCCGTTCGAAGATCCAATACTCAGCTAAGGAATCCTTCTGTGACTAGGATTCCAGGTCTGGTTTTGCAACAACTACTGAGAACCCAAACGAACTCGGATTCTCGCCCATAATACCTTTCTGAAAATCTTGATTTGTCTACTTTAATTTCTCTGAAGAACACTTTTGCAATCAAGGAATCTAGCTCCCTGAAAAACCTGAAAAACGCAGCACTGGTCAGAAAACATCAATTCTGGATTTCTAATCTTTTATCACTTATTTCCTAAAGTCTATCCAACTATGCCAAACTTACAAAATAAACTCTAATCAACTCAAATAGGCATAAAACATAACAAAAAACTAATATGAGGATAAAAATATCTAAATTACACTCTTATCACCGACCACAAGTTCACAACAGCTCCCTACATGGCAGGTACTATCCCCCCCCCCCCCCCCCCCCTTAAGGGATTTATTCGCCTCCCCCACCACTCGAACCCAAGACCAAGGGGCTATAGTCAATTGGGGAGCATGGTGAGTACCATCAGGCTAGCTCCCTAATTGACTATAGCCCCTTGGTCTTGGGTTTGAGTGGTTTTGGAGGTGAATAAATCCCTTAAGCGGCGGCGGCGGCGGCGGGGGGGAGGGGGGGGGGGAGGCGACAGTACCTGCCACGTAGGGAGCTGTGTGAACTCCGTGGACGGTTAGTAGTGGGCCCACCATGCTAACTGTTACAATAATTGTTTAAAAATAATATTCGGATGGGATATGATATTGGCAAGAGAAATTTTTTATGACTGAAAACAAACGATTCAAAAATCGGAGTTGAGACGAGGAAGTTAATGTGGATTTACCGTCACATGCAAAATCTGGAAAATGCTCTAGTTTTGAGTATGCTTCGGTATTTTGATGATAATTGAGCTTTAGATATCAAATTTTTCTGATTCTTGAACCATTGGAAAGCTAACTCACAGGGCTACAACTTTTATGTTTATGACTTATTCAGATTTTGACGTTTTTGTACTAAAAATGAAGATATTTCAACACTACGGTAGAAAATTTCTGGCGCCATGGCATCTGCTCTCAGGTTTGAAGGGAGGATTTATGCAAAAAGGGTGCTGAGGCATGCAAATTTCATGTCGAGCCAGGCATGATGAATCAGTTTGGTGCCAAGGCATAAAAAATTGGCACCGTGACATAGAACGGGAATTTTAGATAAACGAGGAGTCTTGTAAAACTTAATCCGAATTTTGTTCTCCTATTTTGTATAGGACTTTCCCATTAATTTTCCCACAACCCTAGCACTATAAAAGGATGTCTTTAGGTATCTTTTAGGGAGGAGAGAGGATGCAGAACAAAAAAATAATCAATAATATAGAGATTAAGAGAGATTGAAAGAGGCTGGAGAGAAGAATTAGAGAAGATCATCATCGACTCCATTAATCTGCTCAAGCTTTACTAAGTTTTGCTTTTCACTTTGTATCATTTTTAATCATGAATGCAGTGATGTTTTTGTTTTTATTCATGGGTAACTAATTCTTTTGTGATTGAGGGTGATTTCAAAACCCTAGATATGTCTTGTGATTAATAAAATCTGCATCTTTTTATCTTTTGATCCCTCTTGATTATGTGATTTATTCTCTAAGAATAGGGTTTAGATAGATTTTCTAAATTGTTTAAGTGGCCAATTAAATAGTTAGGGTTAATCTATTATTGCCAATTTAGGTTTTTTAGTACGGAATCGCTTTATTAACCTAAATAACTAGTGGTAAAGTGTATGCTTGCATGCATTGGGGGTAATCACTCAAGATAACTAAACCAACCATATGAGTTTAACCTTGATTCCATAGGTCTCTCGGTTCTTAATGCTTTTATTACTTTGAATCTAGAGATCGTATCCTAGGTTATTTAATAAATAGGGAATTGGGTTACGACCGCGTCTAGCCCAACGACTTAGTAAGGAGAGATGGAACTTATCAACGTTTGGTATTTTCTGAGCTGATTTGATCAAGGGGGTAGAAAGTTAAAGAGTGCTTTTATTTTATGCAATTCATGTGTAGTGGTGGCAAAAAAGTTAAATCTTCAATCTTGTTTCTCTCATATATTTCTCTTTTGTGAGTATTTTGATTTAAGTTGTTGAATTTAGTTTCCTTGTTTTTGTTTTGATTTATTTTAATTCGTGACAAACCTCTGTTAGAAGTAGATAATTAGTTAAGTTCACAAATCCTCTATGGGAAAGACCCTTACTTGTTCTTTGCTACTACACAACTTTGCATTAGAATTTATTGAGGTAAAATTAGGTGTTGCATTTGCATGCATCAATTTTTGGCGTCTGTCGCCGGGGATTTGTAATAACTTAATTATTTATTTACTTTTTGTTTTTCAGTTTAATTTGTTCTTTGTTTTTGAGTTGTAGGTGTTTTGGTGAATGAGCTCGTGATACAATTTGAGATCAAATCCGCATTCTGATCTAATTCCACCTATTACACATTCGCGATGACCTTTGCATAGGTCAACTCTCGATCAAGCAATCCATACCAATCTTCTGCCTACAAGTGATTCTTCAGACTTTTCAGAGTCTTCAGATTTTTCTGATCAAGAGGAGATGGCTAATCTAACTCTCAAAGAGATGGTTGCACCAGCCCTTGACCAACAACCCTTGTGCATTCGGTACAATGATATGGCTGGATCATTTGAACTAAAGTCTAGGATGATTCATCTTCTACCAACTTTTAGAGGTTTAGCGGGAGAATATCTAAATAAGCACCTTAGGGAGTTCCATGTGATATGTTCCAGTATGAAACCAAATGGAACAACGGAGGAACAAGTAAAGCTAAGGGCATTCCCATTTTCTTTAGCGGATAGTGCTAAGGAATGGTTTTATTACTTACTGTCTGCAACCATAACTACCTGGAATGAGATGAAGGGACTTTTCTTGGAGAAGTATTTTCCAGCATCTCGAGCCACACTCATAAGGAAAGAAACTTGTGGGATTCGGCAATACAATGGGGAAAACTTATATGACTATTGGGAAAGGTTCAAGAAATTGTGTGCTAGTTGTTTACACCATCAAATAAGTGAGCAATTACTTCTCCAATATTTTTATGAGGGATTGATGCCAATGGAGAGGAGTATGATAGATGCAGCAAGTGGAGGAGCATTAGTTGATAAAACTCCTGCTGAAGTAAGGAATTTAATTGCAACCATGGCGGCAAACTGTCAGCAATTTGGCACTCAATCTGATCCACCACCAAGGAAGGTAAATGAAGTGGGGGTATTCAACACTCTTGAGTAACAAATGATTAATTTGATTGTACTTGTGCAACGAATTGCAATGGGACAAGTGAAGACATATGGAATTTGCTCCAATGTGGGACATCCTACCGATATGTGTCCTACCCTTCAAGAGCCAAATTCAGAACAAGCAAATGCCATGGGAGGATACCAAGGACAAAAAAGACAGAGGTATGATCCATTTTCCAATACTTATAACTCGGGATGGATGGATCATCCTAATCTTAGCTATGGAGGAAATCAACAAGCTGCTATCCCTAACAATCCACCCGGTTTCCCTTACCTGCGAGCTCCACAACCATACCAAGCAAGACCCCAAAATGTCTCCCAAGGTAAGTCTTTTGAGGACTTGGTAAACTCATTAGCAACTAGCTCTCTTCAATTTCAGCAAGAGAATCTCAAGTTCCAACAAGAAGTGAAAATGGCAATCCAAGATACAAAAATGTCAATCAAGAATTTGGAAAGCCAAGTTAGTCAGTTGGCTACTACCGTTGGAAGATTAGAGGCGCAAGGGTCCAGAAAGCTTCCTTCTCAATCTTTGGTTAACCCTAGGGAGAATGTTAGTGCCATTACTTTGAGAAGTGGAAGACAACTTGAGGGGACTCACAAGAAGCCAAATGATGAAAAAGAAGTTGGAGATGAGTTGATTCAAGGTGGAAAAAAGCAGTCCAAAAGTGCAAAAAAAAATCACCAACTGATTCTACCAATGTAAAACATCCACCTAAGTACAATCTAAAGTTCCTATTAATAAACGAACCTCCTTTGCCTTTTCCTAGAAGGTTTGCCACATCAACGAAGGAGGAACATGAGCAAGAAATTCTAGAAACTTTTAGAAAAGTACACGTCAACATTCCTTTGTTGGATGCAATAAAGCAAGTATCGTGTTATGCGAAATTTCTTAAAGAGTTATGCACCAGTAAGCGAAAACTTAAGGGAAACGAGGTGGTGAGCGTAGGAGAAAATGTCTCAATAGTTTTGCAAAGGAAGCTTCCACCAAAGTGCAAAGATCCGGGTAGTTTCACCATACCATTCATTATGAGCAGCATAAGTTTTGAAAAAGCAATGTTAGACCTAGGTGCTTCTATTAATGTCATGCCTTACTCAATTTATCTAGATCTAAATCTTGGTGCTCTTAAAGAGACCAACATAGTTATTCAACTTGCTGATCGATCTAAGGCCTATCCAAAGGGAGTTTTGGAAGATGTTTTGGTGCAGGTAAACGAGCTTATTTTTCCAGTGGATTTCTACGTGCTTGAAATGAAAGATGTAACAACCATGAAAACCATGCCATTGCTTTTGGGTAGACCATTCATGAAGACAGCCTGTACGAAAATTGATGTATATAATGGGACATTGACAATGGAGTTCGATGGGGAAATTATTTGATTTAACATCTTTGAAGCAATGAGGTATCCTAGTGATTATAATGCTTGTTTTTCCATTGATATTCTTGACATTTTAGTGTAGCAAATGTTTGAGCTTAAGGGTGAAGATAAATTTGAAGTGGCGATAAGTAATGGGTTGTCAACTGAAGGACTTCAAGGTTTTGACGAAGATGTTGAATTACGAGAAGAGCTAAACGAAATCATAGTAATGTTGGATGAGCTTCCAAAGAAAATTCCAAGGTATGAAATCTCCTATATTTCTCTTCCCATATCTAATGAGAAACTTTTACCTTCCATTGTGCAGGCCCCTACCTTGAAACTCAAGCCTTTACCAAGTCATCTTAAGTATTTATACTTGGGAGAGGGAGACACATTGCCCGTGATTATAGCGGCCAACCTTTCAAAGGTGCAAGAAGAGAAACTTGTTCGTGTGTTGAAAGAGTACAAAATGACAATTGGTTGGACGATTGTTGACATTAAAGGAATAAGTCCTTCCATGTGCATGCACTAAATATTATTAGAGGAAGGATCTAAGCCTACAAGAGAAGCACAAAGATGGTTAAACCCACCAATGATAGAAGTAGTGAAGAAGGACGTAATCAAACTATTGGATGTTGCTGTGATCTACCCGATTTCGGATAGTAAATGGGTCAGTCCAGTCCAAGTAGTTCCTAAGAAATTCGGAATCACTGTGGTAAAGAATGAAGATAACGACTTAGTTCCCACTCACATTCAAACGGGATGACAAGTGTGCATAGACTACCGCAAGCTCAATGCCACAACGCAAAAAGATCATTTTCCTCTTCCATTTATCGATCAAATGCTTGAACGTTTAGCGGGCCATTCTCACTATTGTTCTCTTGATGGATTTTCAGGTTATAATCAAATTGTGATGGCACCAGAAGATCTTCACATGCCCCTTTGGCACTTTGCTCATCGACGCATGCTATTTGGCTTTTGTAATGCCCCCAGCACCTTTCAAAAAGGCATGGTCAGTATTTTCTCCGATTACATAAAGAACATTATAGAGGTATTTATGGATGATTTTAGTGTCTATGGGAACTCATTTGATAATTGTTTGAGTAATTTGACATTAATTCTTAAAAGATGCATAGAAACCAATCTCGTGTTAAATTGAGAAAAATGTCATTTTATGGTAAATCAAGGGATAGTTTTAGGGCATATTATCTCATCAGAGAGATTGAAGTTGATAAAGCTAAAATAGATCTTGTACGTTCCTTACCACCTCACACTTGTGTGAGAGAGGTACGTTCTTTTCTTGGACATGCATGATTTTATAGGAGATTTCTCCAAGATCGCAAGGCCCCTATGCCATTTGTTACAAAAAGAGGTAGCGTTTGAGTTCAATGAAGAGTGTATGAAGGCGTTTGAGAAATGAAAAGAACTCCTACACATAGCCCCAATTATTCAGCCACCTGATTGGAGTCTTCCATTCGAGTTGATGTGCAATGCAAGCAATTATGCCATTGGAGCCGTGTTAGGACAATGAGTTGGAAAGTTGCCACATGCCATTTATTATGCTTCAAGAACATTGAATTGAGCTGAACTTAACTACTCCATAACCAAGAAAGAACTTTTAGCGGTTATTTTTGCACTAGAAAAGTTTCGTTCATATTTAGTTAGCACTAAAGTTGCCATTTTTTCTGATCATGTAGCTCTTAGGTATTTACATACGAAGAAAGAAGCTAAACCAAGGCTTACAAGGTTGATTCTGTTGCCACGAGAGTTCAACCTAACAATCACAGAAAAAATAGGGAGTCAGAATGTTGTAGTAGACCATTTAAGTAGGCTGACAAACCAAGAAGATGCTCTTCCATTGAAAGATGATTTTCTAGATGAATAATTACTTGCAATGACATCCTCAGGACCGTGGTGTGCAGATATAGTAAATTACATAGTGACCAAGAGAACCCCACCCAACATGTCGCGTGCTAGCAAAGACAAATTGAAGAAGATCGCCAAGCAATACATGTGGGATGATCCATATCTTTGGAAATATTACCCTGACCAAATCATAAGAAGGTGGGTTTCCAAAAGCAAATTTAATTCAATTTCAACTTTTTATCATTCCTATGCATGCGAAGGGCACTTTAGAGCGAAGAGGACAGCTCTCAAGGTTCTTGAGAGTGGATTCTATTGGCCTACACTCTTTAAGGACGCGTATTGTTTTTGCAAAACATGTGATAGATGTCAACACTCAGGTAATTTAGGCCCAAGAAATCAAATGCCCCAAAATCTGATTTTATTTGTTGAAATTTTTTACGTATGGGGTATTGATTTCATGGGACCCTTTCCGTCTTCTTATGGTTACTTTTATATCTTACTTGCTATTGACTATGTGTCTAAATGGGTATAGGCAAAAGCCACCCGGACTAACTATTCTAAAGTTGTTGTAGATTTTACAAAATCTAACATTTTTGTAAGGTTTGGAACACCTAGAGCCATAATTACTGATGGAGGCACTCATTTTTGCAACCATACGTTTTGGGCTACCTTGAAGAAATACAACGTCACCCTCAAAATTTCTATGCCATACCACCCACAAACGAGTGGATAAGCCGAAGTCTCTAATCAGGAAATCAAGTCCATCTTAGAGAAGACCGTGAATCCAAATAGGAAAGATTGGAGCTTATGACTTGATGACGCATTGTGGGCACATAGGACAGCATATAAGACACCAATTGGAATGTCCCTATTCCGAATGGTTTATGGTAAACCATATCACCTTCCCGTTAAATTAGAGCATAGAGCCTATTGGGCAATTAAGCAATGCAACATGAAATTAGACATATCGGGAGAACAACGAAAATTGCAATTGAAAGAACTTGAGGAGATGCGGAATGAAGCTTATGAAAGTTCACGAATTTACAAGGACAAAACAAAGGCCTTCCATGATAGAATGATCTAGCAAAAGCATTTTGAAGCTGGACAAAAAGTTCTTCTATTCCATTCACATCTTAAACTTTTTCCCGGTAAGTTACGAGCCTGTTGGGTTGGTCCTTTTGTCATTACTAATGTTTTTTCCCAATGCTGTAGTGGAAATTAAGAGCATGAAGATTGGGAAGGACTTTAAGGTCCATGGTCATCGTCTAAAGCCATACTATGAACATTCAAGGAACAATTGGATGAAGTACCTCTCCACAAACCAACGAACATGGACGATTAAGCAAAGAAAAATGTCGAACTAACAACATTAAACAAAGCACTACATGGGAGGCAACCCATCGAGTTGTGTTAGTTTTCATCTTCTTTGTTTTATTTTTAATGCCGATTAATAATGCAATGAGGACATTGCCCAATTTAGGTTGGGGGTGGATGAGGCATTGTAATATTAATTTTGGTACTTATGTGTTGCATTGGTGTGTTTGCATTTTTTTTAATTCTTTTATTTACTTTATGTGTATTATTTTTCTTTTATTTTTCATTCTAATTCTTCATCTTTCTTTGGTATTATTTTATTGTTATGAATTTGAGTTAAGTGTTTTTTCTTTTTGCTTTTGAATGTTTTTAGGATTAATTGTTTCAGTTTTTCAGATTAATGTCAATGATATGATTATAATTGTGATGACATGTAATGTTTAGAAGACATTAAATGTTGCTTAGGTGTAAGGGTGATCTCAAATAATTAGTTTCATTTAGTTTGACTCTCATGTTATGCGGTATGATTTGGTTGGTTAGTCTTAAGGCTTGGTGATGTTTTTATGTGTGAATTTTCAAAGACATTTTTGGGATCTCAACAAATTCTAGAACTCACTTGATAACTACTTGAGGCGAAATCCTAGAATGCACATTAATTAGGATATGATTTAGGCTATCTTTGGATCGTTTGAGCCTTTCAAGCCAACCCTTTATTTAAATTATCGCTAGTTCCCCCTTTGAGCCATTATTAAACACATTTAGCCTTGATTTTCTTTCATGTAACCTACATTAACCGCCATTATTTTGAGCCAAAAACACATTCCTACCCTTTAATTTTTAAGAGACTTAATCTAAGTACAAGATTGGTGAGAGCAATTAAAGAAGTGAGGGTGAAGGTTCGTGGAAATTGTCAATTTATTCCAAATGTGGTCAAAAGAATAGGTTGGGGGTTGTAGAGTGCTTTTTAATCAAGAGGTGGGGTAGCATTTTTAGCTTTCTTTTCTTTCTTCCGAATTAAAAAAGAAATGAAAAAAAAAGAGAAGAAGAAAAGAAAGAAAGAAAGAAAAAGTATTGAGAAACATCGCAAAGTATAAATGATGCAATGAAATTATTTTTGATGAAGGGTGGAAAAAGTTGGGTGTAAAGAAGAATGGTGGTGCTTGAATGAAAGTGTTTGAAAGAAATAGGATTGAGTCTCTTATTTTTGCTTATCCTTTCCGTTCTTTCATAACCTCATAACCTAGCCTAACATTACAAGCTGAATAAATACCTATTGATCCGAGGTAGTGTGATCACACTACATTAGTGGAGAGTAGTTTGAAAAGTGAGCCTATGGAATTTGATTCTATTCATTATATTTTATTCTTCAACTTTGAGATCAATTCTTTGTTTGTGAAGTTTGTGCATATGATCATCTGGGTTTTGAAAATAATGGGTTTGTGTTTTGTTGGATGTGTGAGAGTGGATAACAAAATAAAATTGATGTTTGACTTATCTTTGGGCTTGGGTGATGTTTAACTATTCTTTATTTTATGTGTTGTATGCAATTTTTGAGACGAATGTATATCTAGCGACTAATTTTCTGTTTGTTTGTTTTTAATTTTTGAGTCTAGGTTAAGTTTAGTGTGGATGTTTGTAGGTATCATCGCTGGAAACCCTCATGAGACTACAACTCATCCAACTAAGGCCACCTAGGGGTTTAAAGGCTTGTTGCATATGCTAAATGCAATCGTGACAAATCTACAGAAATGATTTAGGTTAATTTAGGATTATAATTTATTTTGTTTTTAGGCTAGAAGATGTCTTTAGATCGCTTAACTTGCTAGGGACTAGCAAGAATCT